GGTCCCCCAACTAAGTTAGCTCGAAAATTAGTCCTGTATTGTGCCAGCCCGTTTCACGTAATAACGGATAAATAGAGCTTTGTTTCGTGCCTTGCTGATAATTTACATTTCGCAACATTAGACCTGTTTTACGATATATTTCTTGACAGGCTGGTATAAAGGCAATCGAGAGTTTTGTAGTACCTTCCTTCCAACGGATGAATCAAGTAAGCAGTTGATGCAGGTCGCGGAAATTGTGGACGCAGGGGACCACACGAGTTATCCGCTACGAGAGACTGAAATTTCCAAATATGAACTCTAATCCTATCTTTATCCTTTCATTTCGATAATTTAAAACTACCAAGTTTCTTACCTTCAAGACTATCGTGTCCGGCCCGAAAATGCTAAGGGTAGGATAAAACATCCCGATGTTCTCGTGAACAGTCTCGGTAGCCAAATCGAGGCAATCATCTCTTGAAATTCAAAAATGATGCGCGATTAAAATATTCGAACTTTAAACAACGGACGCTCACTTGTACCGGATTTGTATCTACCTTATGCGAAGAGTGCTTGCCGCGAAATCTGAGACTGAACGCACAGGTTCATAATAGTGACCCTGAAAACCTGTTTGTAAAATGGGATATTACTTGCTGATCTTGCTCAGTTGAAATTTTTTACTGCTTGTGTTTCACATTTACACAGCACACATACACATCGTCTGTTGCAGGTAATTACAGACGTAGAATTATGTTGAGCCCTCAACGCAGCAGATTACACAAGTTTGGTGGATTTGACTCGATGAGAGAAAAGACGAGCAGTCTTCTTGTATGGCTGTAGTACAAGGATATTTAGATAATGTCTTTGCTTGCTCTACAGTGGCTCAGGCAAGACGTGAGGCTCTGAGGATATCATCGAAAACGTTGTGCAGGTGGGTGGTATACACAGATACGGGCACAAACACACGTTCACACTTGAACATCCATACACGCACACGTAAGTATGCATACACATACACACTTTGACAGTTTTCGTGATTATTTGTTTATTCGGTTCTTCCTACCTAACAACCACACCACCAGAGAAATAAACATTGACTGCGTGCTCGCGCGCATTATATTAGGTCGGTCCATAAGACTTGCAACAAACTGGCCGAATTTTGAATTTAATGTTTTCATTAACTTTTTGTTCCATTCATCCGGCATGCTCTTCTTCTTCTTCTCCCTAGCGTTAGTCCCGCGCAGTCGCAGGGTCCGCTGTTTTTGTCAGCCGTCGCCACTTTGCTCTGTCCAGGGCATCTTCCATCGTGACCGCGACCTCACCTAGGTCCTTCTTGATCACGTCTTTCCACCTTTTCTTCGGGGCTCTTCGCGGTCGCTTGCCTTGTACTTCGAAGTTCATCGCTGTTCTTATCGGATGGTCTTGTGGCCTCCTTAGCACATGCCCATACCATCGCAGACGCTGTTCTCGTACCTTCAGCTGGACAGGGGCAGTCTGCATGACCGCTCTGACGTCCTCGTTTCTAACCTTGTCCAGCCGCGTCCCGCCGCAGGCCCATCTCAGCATCCTCATTTCGGCAGAGTGGAGCTGTCTTTCCTGATTCTTGTTCAAGGCCCAGCACTCGCTGCCGTAGAGCATCGCAGGCCTTACCACTGTCCGGTACACCTTTCCTTTGAGCGTTCTGGAGCATCTTCGATCACAGAGGATTCCAGTGGACTCCCTCCATTTCATCCATGCAGCGTTGACCCGAGCCTTCACCGCCTGATCCACCCTAGCGTCGGCTGCCAGATCACTCCCAAGGTATCGGAAGTCCTCCACCAGTTCGATGGTCTCACCATGGCCGTCCACGATCGACACTACACCCTCTTCGGAGCTCAGAAAGCTCAGGGTCTTCTTGAATTTCAGCCGTAGCCACCTTTCTTTATTGTTCCAGGACTTTCTGCCATTTCTGCACCTTGGCTTGAAGTTCTCCTTATATCCGCTATCAAGGCGACGTCGTCAGCATCAGAGATAGTTTTCAACGGTCCCTCCGTGAGCCCCTTCACCAGGCCATCTAGTGTTAGGAGGAAGAGGAACGGGCTCAGAGCTGACCCTTGGTGCACCCCGATTGTGATGTCCACCTCCTTCGTTAGGCCGTGTGGGGTGCGTATAGCTGCCTTGGCTCCTTCGTACATATCTCTCACCAGAGAGATGAGGTGTTCTGGCACATTCCGCTCCCTAAGCGACCTCCATAGCACTGCTCGCGGTAGCCGGTCGAACGCCTTTTCCAGGTTGAGGAAGCTTAGGTAGCAAGGCCTGCACTTTTCGCGATACTTCTCCATGACTTGCGCAGCGATGAAGATGGCATCCGTTGTAGACCTTTCAGGCATGAACCCGAACTGTTCGTGGGAGATCTGGACAAGGTCCCGCAGTTTCGAGTCGACCAGGCGCTCGTACAACTTCATGGTATGCGCAGTCAACTTGATGCCGCGGTAGTTGGAGCAGTCCATCGCGTCACCCTTCTGCTTGAAGATGGGGACGATAGTGCTTGTTCTCCAGGCATCCGGCATCCTCCCTTCGGCAGTCACCGTATTCAGGAAGCGGGTGAGCCACTTCACCCCGTGCTCTCCGAGGGCCTTCCAAGCCTCTATGGGTACTCCATCCGGACCAACTGCTTTTCCAACCTTCATCTTCCCAAGTGCGCGCCGAACCTCATCCTCTGTCCAGAGTGCGATGGGACCAGCTGTGGCCTCTACCCGTGAGTTGTTCTCGTGGGAGAACTCCTCGTTGAGAAGACCTCTGAAGTATTCTTCCCACCTCCTCCGGACTTGGGCTGGCTCCCTCAGTATGGCGCCGTTGTTGCTCTTTACGTTCTTCACCACCCTGTTATCTTGAGTAGCCCGATGCCGGGCTCTGGCCAGTCTGAAGACGAACTTCTCCGCGTTTCTGCTTTCCAACTTCTCGTACAAGGCGTCCATCTCCGTGTTCTTTGCCTTGGCTACGGCAGCCTTAGCGAGCCTCTTGCAACTTTTGTAGGCAGCGAGGTCTTTGGGGCTCCGGGTTTTCTGCCAGCGCTTGTATGCTTCCTTCTTCTGTTTCACGACTCGCTGGACCTCCTCGTTCCAGAACCACGCCGCCTTGTCTCCTCTGAATCCACCTCGCGTCTCGCCCAGTACCTCCTTGGCGCATCGTAGGATGACCTCAGCTGCATTGCGCCAAGTCTGTTGCACTGGTCCCTCAGGATCTGGGAGACCGACTTCCATTATCCTTCGCTTGAGGTCACTCTTCTCTGCACGGTGCAACTTCCACCACCTTATTCTCTTCTCGGTTCTTACCTTTGTCTTCTTGGGGAGCTCCATGGCTATGTCTGCCAGGAGTGGCTTGTGCTGGGAAGCCAGCTCTTCGCAGGGAGTACCTTGACGTCCTTCACAGTTCTGAGGGACGATCGTTTTACCAGCACATGGTCTATGTATTTCCGTTTGTCGTCCTCCACTGCTGTAGGTGACCTTATGAGTCTCCCTTTTTCGCAGAAGCACGTGCTGCAGACTGCCAGATGTGGGCCGTAGCCAGGTCCAGGCCCGTTCTCCTTCGGCGTTCCTCACTCTATTCCTCTACCTCGTGCACCCCTTTCCGCCTCTTCTTTTCGCTGCCACGTGACACGTCAGATCACCTGCATATGTGAGGTAGTCCCTTCCGGAATCGTTATCTGATGGATCGTCAAGCCTGAGATAGAACTCGTCCCTTGTCACTTGCGGGGCATCCGGCTTGCGGTGCGTTACACAGAGAGTATGGTCCAGTTACCCTCTTTCGTGTCTTATGCCTCAAACAGCCACTGATACGTATCGCTAATCCTGTTCGACTGCGGAAGAATGGTCTTTGACGCGACCCGCTACACGCTATGGCAAACCGTTCTCCGCTTGGGGTCTCCCCATTGTCGTAGAGTTTGACACCGTTCCCGATTTTCATAGGCTTAGCACCTTTCATCTGCGTCTCTGAAGCATAACACTGGAGTGTTCCTGCGCGTCATCAGGGATCAGCAAAGTCCTCGGGATCTTCCAGTAGTCGATCCCACCGTTCAGCGTCCAATCTCGAACTAGTTCTTTGCGAGCCCGTTCACTCCTCGGTAGCCTCGCATACTGACCACAGAAGTCGGGCGGGGGTTCTGCGCGCCACTTCGGGTGGTGACGACCTAGCATTACCACTGATTCTTTTGGCGACTCTTTAGACAAGTAGTTTGGTGTGACTGGGTGTGTCATCACCGGCCTGCTTCAACCTGGGCCTGACGCTGGTACTAAAGACCATTTTTGCAATTTTGGCAAGGCATGGTTAGCCTCGGCAGGATCGAACTCGCGGTTTTTGGAGGTGCAGACATGAGCCTAACCTCTTAACCACTCGGCTATCCCTGCCTTATTCATCCGGCATGCTACCCTCCATCAATATCTACAACCTATTGCCAACACACTAGTAGCTGCTCGATGTCCCTTGTAGGACTCTACTGAATTCTGATCGAACGAAGATCAGATGTCGATTTTGACATCATCATATAGGATGAGCTTTCTTTCCTAGGAGATGGTTTGGAGAGGGGAGCAGAAGGGCATTGTTTGCCTCGAGGTCAGGGCTATAACGTGGATACAGAAGAACTCCTCGTTTTAGGGTCTCAAAATTTTTCTGAATTTTCTTAGCAAGAGGTGGTTCAACGGTGTCATACAAAAGCGGACTTTGCCTTGTTTTTCTTTCGTATTAGAAGCGTTGCATTCGAGCTGTGGATAGGTGACTTTCGCGTTGACTGCGACATCTACATGTGGGGGTTTCCAGAGCTTAACTCCTCCCGTGTTCCACCCAAAATCCGAGAAGGTCCTACTCGGACGAGATTGAACCTAAGCAATAAGATCTCCCGAAGCGTTTGAGCTAGACTACCGCCGCTTGTTCATTTGTTAATAGACTGTACCCACTCCTCATCTTCGGCAAATGTGATGGATGGTCAATCGTAGAATCCCTAGTAAGTCGACTTGAACATAACGGTGTCAGATCGTGTTTGGAGCTGAATCGGGCGCAAGGCACGTGGGGACCAAACTCTACATTCAGATCTTCACAAGTCTTTGGGATGCCACAGTGCTGTCTCCTTGTCGCATCGGAATCGCTCTAGCAAATGATCAATACTCTATCCGGGTCCCTTTTCAACGGCGTCAGATAGAGCACCGTGATTTTCAGTCGCAGGGTGGTTGGAGTGTGGGTTGTTTTCAAATAAAAAATTCAACGCTAAGCAGAGTGAAGCGCCGTTGCACCGCGGCTTGAGAGAGCGTGCCCTCGCCCATATTCTGGACAATTCTTGGTCTAGTATGACTTGCGGAACATTCCAAGCAGTACACGTAAAAATTGAGGCACCGAGAGCTCTTTGGCGAAATTGGTGTAATATCCATAATAAGTAAGCAGACAACGAGCTGGACCGTTGGCTGAAATTGCAAAGGTTGATGCTACGTCAGGAAATGTTGCGGATTTTCAGGAGTTCTCCCTAAAATTCTATAGCATTAAATGTAGTTTGTTGCAAGACTTATGGACCGACCTAATAGCACGGCCAATAAGCAATGAATAGTCTCAAGATCGCTTAGCATGTTCAAGTTCAAATGTAGGATACGATAGCCATTACACAATAGTTAAACGAAATCGAAAATCGTAATTGGAAGACACGATCTTTTCGAAGAAATCGCGCCTCAAAAGATTAAAAACTTTTGTTTCCAGGTTTAAGGTTCAGTCTATCCGGAAGCCATACCATTCAGGGTCAACCGTCCGTTCGAACTGTTCGAACGAAGGGATCGCATTTTGGTGGGAAGGTGGTCGCAATTTCGAGGACTGCCAGCCACAGGCGCTCGCGTTGCGTATCCGAGGGCAAGACTTGCTTGTGCAGACCGCATTAGACCGTATGTGCTGCTCAAAAACCTATGGGAACAAAATGTTCGAACGTGTGATTTTCTCGAAAAGTGAGCTTTGAAAAACGAATTGGGGCTTGTTGAAGAGAGCAAAGCCTGCGCTTTCACCCCATGAAAAAAGTGCATCACAGAAATGAAAGTGAGTTATGATCGCTGAAAGCCCAAAACTCGCTTTTGCACGAAAAAAGTTCGAACGGGACAATTTTTTGAAAAAAAGACAATCACTAAACATTTTTTATACTGCCTTGTTAGAGAAAGATTTGAAGTTTCTGAAACTTTTGACAGATTTCCAAATGTCGCATACGAAAGATTTTATGGGCCTTCAAAGTTGAAGGTGCGGGTCTTCCTAGAATTTGGGTTTTTCGCTTCTAACAGAAGTACTTTCGGAGAGTTTAGGCAATACTTGTAGTTTTTCTGAAAGCGCACCTCAGGCACAATCAAAATCTACCTCAAAAAGTCAAAAGAGTACTTCCAAGAAAGTTATTCTCCATCTGAAATTTTTTCTTCGCCGCGTCCCGTTCTTCTAGTGCCCGGGTGATACCTACCGCGCTCCAAGGCCGACGCGACGACGTGAGGACGCTTTCTGGCGCAATGGATTCATGTCTAGCACTCTTATTAACAGGAACAGGGGGGTCGCAACTGGACCCCCCGAGAGCTAGGAGGTCGCAAAAATCCCGAAAATGTTCGAACGTGACGGGTGACCCTGATACCATTAGGATTGACCGGCGTTGCCAAGGCCGAGCAAGCATGCTGGACCGACCCTACAAAAAAAGGCCCCGCCGTACAAGAAAATTGCCGCTTTCAGGAAATTTGAAGGGCTGTCGCTCGTCCGTCTCCCGAAATCCTCAACCAAACGTCATTTTGGCTTTTATTCTCAGTCGAATGGAAGTCCAAGCACTACTTAATATCGGCCTTCATCTAGAGATATTACGGAAAATATTTTAGTAGGAAGCTTTCGTTGAGCATTCTATTAGGACGATGGTCTGATGCAGGCGCCCTTCTATTGTCGCCTTCACAAACTCATAACAGAAGTGACTACGAAGCGGCTTATGGTAAGCCAAGACGAGAACTGCAGTTGAGTTTTGCACTTTAGGAGAGAGCTCGTACTATTTCATGCAATCCATACACCAGCACAGAATTCCAAGGACCACAGAAGCCAGAAATAATGTACTAGTGATTAAATGCCATTATAAAATGATGCCATAAGAAAATTATACAATTACTCAACGAATTTTTATGTCCGAATTTGAGGGGCTTTGGCTGAATTCGCTTTGGAATCGTGAAGCTTCCAAATTTTTGACGCGCGATTTCTCTGGTGAAAAATTGTATTTTTCGATTACGATATCCGTGCCCTCCTTCCCTAGTCGGACCCCGGCAGCCCTCTTAGCATCCTCAACACTGCAAATTTCCGTAGTTGACACCTTCGATTACTCTCGTTTTTCGAATGGCTCTTTACCACTGAGCCTTTTTCACGTCTAACCAGAGGCTTCGTTTCTCAGCAGTTAGTAACTTGAACCTCTGCAGTCTTCCATTATAGGACAGTGGTCATGATGGCAGGAGGGGGTTGCGGTTTGGATTACGTAATTGAATTCCGTTTGTGGAAGGGGTTGAAAGGGGAACTCAACCACACCCCGGTGATGAATCTACTTCGTCAATGATGTTCAACGATGACATCAAAATTGCAACGCCCTGCAGCCATCGTTATCACTGCTTATAGAAGCAACCTAGGCATTCGTCAAGTGAGCGAGTTCCTTCGGCCGATAGGAGAGAAACCTAGAGGTCAGCCACAGTTTTGACATGGATTTGCGAAGATCGTTCCAACCGCCAGTTATTCCAGACAGTTTCATGCTAATATGTGGGGCACTCCGTTGTGCTCTCTCGTCCACACCCATCCTCTCACCAATCTTTCATTTACGTTCGAGGAACCACATCGGTTTTATTGCGGGAAATGCTCTTAGGTGATTCCAAGAGGACGTGCACGCCCACGGCTGCAGTAGCTGCCGACTTGCTCCCCATAATGCTCTCCCACCTCGGTTTCCAATCAAACTTTTTGTGTCGTATCGCTCTGGCCCTCCAGAAAATGAAGAGCCCTATTTGAACACACTTTCAGTGTTTGTCTTGCTTTTTTCTTAACTATGATGATTTGATTCGACTAGCGCCTACTGTTCCATATCTAGACCCCACAGTAACCCTGATTTGCAGTCGTGCAATATCTTCAGGAGCTCAGACCATCCCAAGTTTTTGGAAATATGCAAATGGCCCACACTGTTTTCAGGATACTGTAGATCTGTTATAAAGCCGTTGTGAACAGAGTACTACAATATATGGTACCTACTATCGCATTATGTAATAAGCGCTAACGAACCTGAGATAGTATGTATTGTCCTCTTCTAACTTGGCGAATTTCAACGTTTGTAATAGGTGAACAGGTGAGCAGTTCTCCATCGAATAGCAAAGCAATCATTTGAAAAGTGAAGTTAGCAGGAATTCCTGTAAAGTATGAAAAATTCCTCACATATTGTGTATCAATTTCACAATGTGATTGAAACACCTTACCTATTGTGAGGGTTGTCCGCGAGTCAACTCCAAGTTCGTTGTCATCTGTTTGGAGGGAAGTCATGTTTTTTGGACATCTTCGAACAAATGCCCACTCTAATATGCCTTTCTTAGGCTCTTCCTTTTCCAATTTTGGATTTGATCTCAGGTCGGGAAGGATGCGCGCCTACAGAAAAATGAGCTGAACAGTGAACTTCAGTATCGAAGATTGTCTTAATAAAAGCGACATCTAAACTGAATTTAAAAATCAATCAAGTTCAAAAAATGTGGAAAATGGGGAAACCTCTTGTTTCAGTGGGATTATGTGAATATATCCCTCTATAGTTGCGGTATGAAATGAAGCTCGCAGAAGTGGAAATCCAGGTAAAATTACTGTAGCACAGGTAACCAACTGGAATAATGCAGATCAATTTATACTGATGTAGTAAGTATAGTAATACTGTGAAACTCACGCCTCGTTTGCTCGTTAGAATGACCGTATGACCAATGATTTGCGATCCACTGACTGTTGATTCATTCAGTGGTCGATCTCGAACAATTTTCGGGCTCTTCTTCGCTCGTTTGCAGTTCTCGGTAATCGCAACCATGTCATATGGAGCAGAAGACATATGAACAGACCAGCTCACATCGTCCTCTGAGTGTTTCACGTCGAAGGATATGAGATACTGGTCGTGTCCAAGAGGAGATATCTGGAACGCAATCGTCTGTACTCATGACCACGGACTCCTATTGAAACAATCTTGCCCTCATGGCTCTAGAAGAACATTCTACAAGGTGGCCACAAATTACGGTAACAAGAGCGTACCGATACAATTTCTAGATCAATTGAACGGTTTTGAATGTAGCTTTTGCATATTCGGTTCTATCAATACGATCTTCATTCTTAATTTCACCGCTCAGAACTTATTAAATTCGGATTGCGGGCTTTTAGCTATTCATGAAATAACACTCGCTTGTTTCTTCAAGGTGTGTGGTGGAGTTTCGTTGCGAAGCGAATAAGGATCTTCACGACGCCTGCAACAACCACCTTTCCGAAAACAGATTGACTAGTTGCTAGGAGCGATTGATGTAGACGTGGAAGTCCCGGAAAAGCTACTCCTTCCAAAACTGCGGCACAGGGGTTATTTGTGATGAGCAATCAGTTGGTGATACTAGGAAAATTCTAAGATGGCTGCTTATTCCGGAACCGCAATATTTAAGGGTGTCCTTATGAATGATGTAGAGTTCTTTTTCATTGTTCCTTTTCATTCTTGCTCTGGTGAGCTTGCTTGTGAAAGGGCGCTCTGCTCTTAGAAGACAAACGAAAGGGCGACGACGGTTTTCAGAGACATTTGATTTTCTCACATATTTGGGGTTCCGAATCATTTAAGGTCTCTGATGTCTGAGGCGATACTCTGCTTTCGATCCTTCACTGATGACAATGCTGCGGCGCTTTTCCCTTATGTCAGACCCCCGAATATATGTATACTACAATGCCCCCTCTCGTCTGTGTCGTGTTACCATCGGGCTCTTGACTCTGGTTCCAAGCACCTTGTGGAAAAAGTTCAAGAACCGCTTGCTTCTTGAAGCGACATTTTTCACCTGTTAGCAAAAAAGTGTTGCACTCCGATGACTGAACCTGCTCCTATGTAAAACCTTGCATACAATCGTTAATGGCGTTGTACACAAATGCGGTGACTGATCATAGAAACCCCGAAATTATAGGGAAGATACACTTAGATGGTGGCGACGGTAGACCATATGTCTGATCACTGTTCCCGCTTCAAATTGCTTCCCTTCCCTGTCCAGTAGCTGTAAAGGGCAAGAAAAACGTCAAAGAAAGAATGAAAGTTAACCTAAAATGAAAATGAAGATTTTGAAGTACACTCGGTCCATACCTCCTATCCTGAACCACAATAGTTGATTTTCCTAACTTTCAAACAAATGTCTCACCGTCATAAAGCCTTTGAATTTCTCTCCATTCAGCAAGGTGCTATAGAACGTGGATGACACGAACTGTAGACCAACAAAGAGCAAATACGCAGAAAATCTGCTGAACCACCGAACGGACGTCATCGCACCAACCACTAAATGTGGCAAAATTCACAATGTACATCGCTTTACATTACGAAATGACGTAAAACGCTAAAAGGTGATTTATAGGCTGTGCGCACAACACAGTAGCCCTCCGTGAAGATCGAATGAAGTGAGAAACAGTGCTGTAGTCGGAAGACTTATAGACTTCTGCCCTAAGCATAAGTGGTGAAAGACTGTTGCGAACACTTCATGAAACCCAAGTAATCGAATGCATAAGTACTCTGATCGATGCGCTGCCGAAAACTATGATTTTCTAAAAACAAACTGGTCACACTCTCATTTGGTCGGTGAATACAAACGTTGCCTTGCCAAGCATGGAGGATTTTTGAAACTGCGAATCAAAATATAAGTTAATAACTTTTGCTACTTTTATCGCATGGGGCTCTCGTTGAGGAATTGTTGAAGACCAATAAAACCAGAACTGCGTGAGGTAGAAGTCGAAGTACGGGCTCAAGGCCACATTTCTAGTAATCGAGCGTATTGAATTTATTCTGTGGCTTGAGTGAGAACAAAGAGGACAAATGCCATTCGGAAGGCGCGAGATTGAAGAAACGCGAGTATGGAGACGTTCAACCAGTTGAGCTTTTCAAGAAGGCGTTAATTGAGTGAGGCACCATAAGGACACACATTACCGGAAAGAATGTGGCGCGTCGCCACCATCAAGGGTGGCAAAAAAGAGACACTTTGCTCATGCCACATGTCAGCAAGCTTTAACACGTTGACAACAGCGTGACGCCGTAGCGCGCCCCACTTTGCGCACCTCGTGAGCATTGTGACGCGGTAGCGCCTCCCACCCGAGTCATTCTTTTTTTCTTGCGCTTGCGCGGCTTAATCCCAAGGTCTTTGAACTCATTCCATGGGCCATACATTAGCATACTAAAAAACACATGGCTCGCAGAAAGGCCAAATTAATAGTTTGGCAGAGGTTTTACAGACCTTACGGGTCTATTCAGCTCATTCCTAGTTTTCTTTTCATTAACGTGAACATGTTGATAAAGTGAATAATAGAAGTGAATACGAACCCGCTCGTAAAGGAACATATGCGTTTTCAATAAAACAACCACGTCCAAATTAATTTTCGAACCAAATGGGAAAGTAAGTAAAATTTCATGGCCATAGTCATTTCGGTCGAATTTCCATTACTGTAACTCCCGATAAGATAGGCAGATCGAACATCATTGAAGACACTTCATGGCATCAAAATATTGCGTATTTACAGCTCAAAATCCATGGATTTGGTGTGCGGCGATGGCGCTCACAAAATCGCTCTGCTCCCATGCGGTGCAAAAGCCCAAAACGCGCCATGTCGTCAACGTGTTAATTTGCGCGTTGCCATAGTCGATGGAAGTCTTTTGGCAAAACATTCCTGAAATATCCCTTCATACGCAGGCACAAGCCCCTGTTTGCTGCCCTCGTCGAGGTCATCTGCAACTGCCGTCGAGCTCGAGCAAGTCTTCCATAATTGGTCTGGAGTAGCTATACGATTACCTCAGCCGCTCAGCTGATGGATATAGTCCCAGTGACAAATGCTCTCGCCATTTAGGACCTTCTCCGACCAGCGTTCCAACAACTTTATAATGGTCCTCGATCCGTCGTGGGGACCACATTGAGCTAGCATTGTGCACAACGTTCCCATTTCAAATTCTTCTGATGTCTATTATGACGTTTAGGTAGACTGGAATGTGCTCTTCAATTTTCATTTGAGAAAACTCGGTTTACATTTAACAAGGCGAGATTAGTGTCGTTTTGAGGGGGAGTGAAGGGTTTCTTTTTTGCCATCCCTGTGGTTTTTCTCAGGAAGTGACGACGAATTAGCGGATCAACATACTGTGTACTTTAGTGTCCACCATCTCGCCGTCAGTCTTCAAATGTGTTCCCTTCATAATGTCTATCACGACTTTCTCATCACTGAAAAAGTCGTATTAAACACAACGGGAGGGAAAAACTGGCCAGCAGCGGGGTCATCACTGTACAAGGCAGTGTTGGCCTTGCCTGGAAGAAGTGGAGATCCTAGCAAAAAAGGCCACCGCCGCTGTTTGTACGTCTTTTGCCATACAGCGTGCAATCCCTCTATTTCTACGTAAGAATCATTGCGTACATGTGAACTTATCGTCGAGCAGTTCTAGAGAGGCAATCGTAGCGTACTGAGTGGGATTAATGTTGGGTTGAACAAAAGTAGTGTGCTTTTTCTTCAGATGGTACTTTTTTTACAAGGCTCTGAGTTTTCACAGTCAATTATAGATACGGTATGGAACAGAATCGCCGGATCTACAAGCCTAATGTGAAACATTCGTCATTGACGGACTGAACTACAAGCTTGCGAAGATTGAGTAGACGAAAAGTAGCAAGCCGACAACACACTCAAACTCTGCGTCCTCCCAAAGCCATGTATCCTTCACTTGAAGCAACAGTTCCAGTTCGAATTCGCGCGATAAAAACAGTCGATATTGAATTTATAGATGGCGGGTTGACTGCTAATAGAAAAAAGCGATAAAAATGCAAGTAAGGCTTTTAAACAGAGGCTTCCCCTTCTTCCCCTTCAAAAGTGGGAAGGGGCGTTCGGACGATTGTCTGAATTGGCTTGCATTTCTTGCTGGTTCGTGCCTGATGATGCTTGTAATCTTGTGACCGTAATAAGCCGTGAATGACGCCGCTTCGAAGATTTTTTTCCCAAACCTGCCGTAAAATCAATCAGTGTTGCCAGCCTATTTAGAGTGATCCAAAACGTTCCGTTAGCTCTTTGATGTCTCATCGTTGAAAACTCTCAGATTTAATGTCAACAAAACAGCGGCTAGCCTAGAGTTCTGTCTGAATAAGCAAATTCTAAAAAAGAAAAACACGAGCTGTTGAAGAGTCCAGTAGTGGAATGTTGAGCAGAGGAGGTGGTTCCTAAGTGCAGATACATCACTGGCTGATTTCTTCTGGGAGTGTAATGGATTAACGTAAGTGGGCGGTTGGCTAATCTTTGTCTACTGGAGATCCCATATAGAAACCAATCTTACAAGGAATGCAGATGTGCAAAACGATCCATGTATCAAACGATTCTCTCCCGACGAATGAAATTTCAGAGAAAAAATTTCACAATAATGAACACTAATAATAATACATTACTGCTCGAATGCTTCTACAATCCGGAAAGGAAATAGTGTTCATGGCCTACTCCGAAACAAAAACTCCATGAATATTCCAGCATTGATCTTGCGGAGAAGAATTATTCAAATGGGATGTTTCGCTGTCATCATGGAACAGGAAGGACAATAAAGAAGCAACTGTTCAAAAAATTGGGGCGAAGAGAAAGAGCAAATTGGAAAAGCCACTGGTGTAAAGGTGTTCAAAATCTTCGAGCTATTCATATAATACAGGGTGTTCTATAAATACTGCAGCACACTTTGAGCTTCTATTGTATGGGTGTCTGTAGTCCTTTTCCCAAGGTTGGCATGCCTTCACTTCCTATGACCTTTTGTGAATAACCTTGCCGAAGTGCACGGCTTACCATTCGTTATACATCTCAGGGTGCACCTAAACCTCAAAAGAGGTCCTAATCCCTGATACAGCTAGGTCGGACATCCGGTGGTTAACATCGCGCTTCTTTGGATTTTCAACCGCTCCTCGGCTACCGTGAACTGAAGAGAAGACCAACGGAAGCAGTCTTTGTTGCGGCCGCCCCAAAAGTTCTGACATTTTGGATCTCAGGATAAGCACGAACAAGCGAAGCGACTGCAATACCCAAGTGGGCTCGACAAAGGTGACCAGAACGCTGGAGTCTCCAAACACAGTTATGTAGAGAATGGTCAGATAACAAGCGCTCACAGACCATTATAAGCTGCATAAGCACAACTGCTCAATCCTATGGGAGGAGCACAGCAGAGACAAAAAGTTCAAAGAGCTGGCATCGAGGGCCGAAAACGGCGATCACGCGGGCACCGTTTTCATCGACGACAAAATTCCTCACATAGAGCAGAGCTAAAATCTTCAAACTTCGAGGGTGCCCGCATGAGGTCGCTGAGAGTGCCACTGAGAGTGAAAGAAAAATCAGCCACAAGCACCAGCCAATCTTTATCACGATTTGGGCAAGGGTCAATCACCGGTCTCTCACCACGGCTGTCTGTTGAAAAGCGAATGAAACTCGATATCGACCTAGCTAGCGAATGCTCCAGTGCACTATCTGTTACTAAGGTTCTCCAAGGAGAAACGACGTTCTTATCAAAAGTAACCAGCTTTTGCATAAGGGGCAAAATTTGTTTAAGACTGATCTCATGATGCTGTAACCGATACCACATCCTCAAACAAATGGCTCTCATATTCTCGATCTGAACCTGCCGGACCATCCTACTATTTGGGCTATATTAGTGGACAGGGCCTGCACTTAAAAACGCATCTAAACAGAGGAGTTGAAGCGTTTTCTCTAAAACGTTTCGAAGAAGGAACTCCAGTATGCCCTGCGGGAAGCACCAGAGTTGCGTTTGGAGCAACTGGAAGCCATACTCACAGCGCCAGGGAGATTTATCGAATAAATGTCATTCCTTTCAACATCTTAAGGACGGACTAAGAATAGTGTGTGACCACTTAGAGATACGTCCACTTTAAATTAAGGATAAGAAAAGTGTTGCAGTATTCATGGGACACCCTGTACAATATCATATAGGACAACTGTTTTCCTAGAGCTCCATTGAAGGCATAGCTCGTACAGGAATCGCGGGAACGATTCCCTCCGCTCTGCAGGATATACCTCTAGATGACTATCACAGATGTGACACTCTCGTGTGTGGAAAATCACCCAAGAAAGGTGCTAGGGCCTTGCAAATGAGCTGCAACAGCTGCAATCTTCCCCATCTCCAGCAAACTGTTGTCCTGGCGCAGTCTCATCCGTCTCATCTGCTGCGCTCCCGCGACGCATATGAGATCCTTGTCATTACCGCATTGCGTTGCATTGGGGATCAATGGTATTTCCTTCTCCTTAGCGCTCTACTCTTCCATCT